GCCCCCCACCACCCACCTCCTCTACCTCCCACCGCCACCTCCTACTGTTTCGCGCCTTTTCTCCGCGGTCCACCCGCGTCCCGCGTGCTCGCCCCGATTCGCGCCTGTCGTTGGCGGCAGTGCGGCTTATCGCCCGAATTGGAGACGGCTGCCCGGGTCCCTCGCGTGTCACGGACTGTCGGCGCGTAACGCTCCGCGATATCGTCGCCAACAACCGGCGGTGGAGATCGTCGCCCGTGATCTTCGTCGCCAGCGGACCCGCGCGACGAGCCTCTCCGTCGGTTTTCGCGCCCCGATGGGTGGGAAGCGCCGCAGGTGAACCCCGACCACCCGCTCCTGTCGACCGGCGAGGCGAGGATTCCCGCGGTCGGACGGGATCGCCTCTTCGTGCCGTGTATATATATTGGCCCCCTCTCGCGTCCGTGCGCACGGGTTCGCATACGCGGAGGAAGTGTCGCCCGGTTTCCTCAAGTTCGAGGACGTGCTTTAAAAAGGTGGGCTTTAAAAGCAACCGGCAACTCCGGGACGAGGGAATTCCACGGGCCCCGGCGTTACTTGTCCCGGGTAACGTACGAGCAATACGCAATAATGTGAGTAATTAATGTAGTTAGTTATATATATATGTGTGTGATTATATAGTTAATTAGCTACAGTCAATTAAGTAGTATGTATATTAGAAATATTGACAGATTTCTTAGGGCCGGTTTCGCGAACATCGGTTAACTTGTCGATCAGACCTCGGTCGACTCGCTATCTTCTTTCATCTTGTTATTTAAGAAGGGACGGAGAAACAGTTAAGCCGAGGTTAGCAGTTAACCGATGTGCGCGAGAGGCTCGGTTTCACCAAACGTCGCTTACCTTTAATCTTAGTTTAATTCACGTCTGTCCCCCTCTGGATTAACAGTTGGAGAGGGACAAGGGATGAATTAAGGCGAGCTTAAAGTTAAACGAGGTTGGTGAAACCGCGTTCTTTGTCTCTCTCCAACGAGGGTGGACAAAGAGCGGGTCGAGCCGCGGTTAAAGCCGAGCGACGTTGGAGAAAACGGGTCTTGATCTATCATTAACCTTGTCTAATGTGCAATTATACACAAATATAACATATAGTTACATAAATACGTTACTATACATATTGGTAACACATAACAGCATGCATTGAATCGCTCACTCGATCGTGACGGTGAGACTGGGGCCACAACAGTGCCGGTGCCAAGGATACGAAGCAGGGTACGGCAGGGCAACAACAATCATTTCCTCGAATGGGAATTTGCGTGGAATTTTTTCGACCGGCCTTCGCCGCGTCCGAGCATTCCGTTGTCGGGAATCAAGTGCCGGTCGTCAACGGTGAAAAGCGCGGGGGAGTTTCCCGCCTTTTTCGAGACGAGAGGGAGGGAGGGGGGAGAGAGAGAGACAGAAAGAGAGAGAGAGAGAGAGAGAGCTCGACGCCCAATGAACACACAATCGTATGTTAAACGCAAAGTAATATAAAAGTGTAATTGTCCCTTTTATATCCGTTCCCTATAGATTTACAATAGTTCCAGAGTTCTTGATGGGTTTAAGAGATAATTCTGGCCGTTTAAGGCATAAAAATGAACTTCTAAAATATGGGAGGGGGGGGGAGACCAACTTCGCGCAGGGCGGTGGTTCGGAATGGATCGTAGGGCCAGTTTCACGAGCATCGGTTAACTAGGGTTCAGTCGACGGCCTATCTTTTTCCATCTTATTATGTAAGAAGCGACTGAGAATCGATTGATCTTCGGTTAGCAGTTAACCGACGTTTGTGAAACTGGCCCTTAATCGTCAGTGTTCGTTCAAACGGTGAAACCGTAATCCACGGATTCCGCGAGTAAGACCGGTATTCACAGTCCGTTCTTATACTTAAGATCATCTTAAGTACAGTCTTGTGTCCGTTTTCACCAACGTCGTCAACTTTGATCTTAGTTTCATTCATCCTTCGTCTCTTTTTAACTGTTCCCTTAGGCCCGGTCTCACCAACGCTGTTTAACTTTAAGCTTAGCTTGATTCGTTCCTTGTCTCTTTTCAACTGTTACTTTAGAGACTTTAGAAAGAGACGTGAATTAAACTGAAATTAAAGTTAAGCGACGTTTGGTGAAATCGGGCCTTAGAAAGTGACAAAAGATGATTTAAACTGGGATCAAAGTTAAACGTTGGTGAAACCCGGGGTTAGTGTGTTGTAAATCAGTCAACATAGAGCCGTATTAGCGTCTTGAGAAATCTTACCTAAGAAGATCTTGAAAGAAGAACGGACTACGACTACCGACCTGAGATTGAAGACAGCGATTTACGGCACACCGAGTGTATGGCCGAGGTCGACGAGGAATTTCATCTCCATGGGATTTCCGGGAAACGTAACGATTCGAATTGACTCGAACCGCTTCGACGGGAAACCAAGAAACCGTCCTGCTATCGCGTTCGCGATTATTCGCAGTAATTAAAATAATGTACAGCTGTTTGCAGGTTATTTAAGTTACACATTATTCTGAAAATTTTACGCAACTAGAACTCAAATTTCATCTTCATCCTCATAATCGCACGACAAGCCACGGCTCAATTATGCAATCTATCTTAGATCCGAAGAAGAATGCTCTCGTATTAAAATTGTTCGGCGAAAATTATGTGATGAACGAACGAATTGCTGCAGCCGTTCGTTCGTTCGTTCATCTCATAATTTTCGCCGAACAATTTTAATACGAGAGCATTCTTCTTCGGATCTAAGATAGATTGCATAATTGAACCGTGGCTTGTCGTGCGATTGTGAGGATGGAGATGAAATTTGAGTTCTAGTTGCGTAAAATTTTTTAAATAATGTAACTTAAATTTCGTTCTTGGACCCAAGCTTGGGTCCAATATTGAAAGAAATTGTCAAAGTTGTAAAATGTTTTTTTAAATTATAATAGTAGATGTGGAGAGTTATGAAAGTTGCATTACGTTTACAGTATCTGAGATTCGTTACATCGCCTTATAGTATTAAAATTGTCTTCAATTTTCCGATACATCCACTCTAGAGAAGAGTCATTCGAGTCTCTTTTCTTTTTTTAAAAAGCTCGAAATTAGTAAGTTAAAGTGGATTTTCATAAAGGCGACGGTTTTTCATATCGTAATAGATCGCAGACATGTCGAAGCAATCGTCTCGTTAGAATATGAAAACAAGAAGAATCGTGTGATTACGGCTCGGTTTTACCAACGTTACTTAACTTTAAGCTTAGTTTAATTCGTTCTTGGTCTCTTTCCAACTGTTACTTTAGAAAGCGACAAACACGAATTAAACTAACAATTAAAGTTAAGCGCGGTTGGGGAAATCGAGGCTGAAGAGTATAATTAAATATGAAATTAATTGCGATGAGAACTCGAATAGATAATTAGCCGCGTTATCGCCACATGAGCTCTCGATATCAACGCTTATCGTTCTGCCCGCGATTCTGCCTGCATCCTGCCGTCTCGAGCGGACAATTAGAAGTCGAACGGTGGAAGCCGACGTTGTCACAATATGTGCGGTAAACAAATTTTAAGGTCGCGCGTAGTGAATAGCCCTTATTTAGTTCACGCGCACGAGTGTCAATACACGGTCAAATAAACGATCTGGTTTTGTATCGAGAATCGCGTTCTTTCGAGGAACCACGACTCGCCGCGTATTCCTCACTCGTCCTGCCCGAAGGTAATCGCGACGTTACTTCAACGCTGATTCAAAGCATCCCAATCCTAATTCTCCACTTGTTATAATTCGACAAATTCAAATTGGCTAATAGCGAATTCGATTGCTCGCAGACGCCCGCCTAACGAGAGGGAGGATCAGGTTCAAACCCTGGCTGAGGTGATATTTTTTCGCAATAAATTTAGAATAAAATATTTAGACACTAACACCCTGTCACGGCTCGTAGTCCTTTACTCCTTCAAATTTGTGTTTATCACATTTGAGCCATACCAATTTTATTAATTTGTTTTATATTTAACTTTGTCTGAAATACATGTTCAAAGAGTGTTTGGCCAAAAAGTGATCCGTATGGATGCTGTACAGATCATTTTACTGGCTTCGAAATATTTTAAGAGATCTTTAGATCTAGAAGAGACGATCCTTAAATCACAGTAAAACTAGTAGATCCACTCTGTCATTTGTCTCGTTTTGCGTCGATCCCTTCCGCGCATCCGACATTGTTCTGGGCAGACCAATGAGAGAAAAGTTGTATGCGTGGTAGTGTAGCTTCGATATACTACCACACATACAACTACGGTACGTACACACACATACGCTGGATTGCTGCCCAGAATAATGACGGAATACCACGTGATCGGGACCGCAAGGATCAAAGGGACCGACAGAGAGTGGCCCTACTAGTTATACTATGCTTAAAGATAAGAATTGACTGTAACAAGCCTTAAGCTCGAATCAGACTATGGATTGAGATTGAGATTAGATTGAAATTTGACCAATTAGAGTAAAAGTCACTGAATTTGGGATTAGTAAACTTTACTCTGATTGGTCCAATTGCAATCTAATCTCAATCTCAGTTCGTAGTCTGATACGGGTGCTCTAGCGTGCACTCAATATGCGCAAGCATCCGAATTCGCTATAAACATCCCCGAGCGCACCGAGATACATTTTTTCTCCCCGTTCTCGTCGTCGAGGAGGCCTCTTCGCCAAGAGCGAGCATCGACGCGACAATCTGTGTACACAACGACGATCAACGGACTATCGTGGATGAAATCATATAAACGGCGGGTCTCGTTCCCGCCAATTGGTGGGTCCTTGTCCATCCTCGGCCGGTCACTCGCGATCGCGATTTGTCGCGCCTGTAAGACCGAGGAGACGCACATGAATACACGAATGATGAGTCTCGCTGCAGCTTGCCGAAAATTTCGACACCTGGCCATTCTTCGATTCTCCGATTTTTCCCCCTCGACGACAGAACTAATTTCCACCGACCAAACGACCGGGAGACAGCGGTCATTCCGCGGATCTCGCGAGAGATCGTAGAGGAACTGGCCTTCTGACGTTTTCTTCCCTTTTTTTGTTCTAGAAGCCAACGTCGCGCACGTGCCTGACGTCGATTCGACGATAAATTCGAGAGATCGCATTCCTCGTCCGCATTCCCCGGACTCGGCTCGTCCGAGAACGAGCTGCTTGTCGCATCTGCGCAAAGTGTAACGTCGCCGATCAACAGTCGTCGGGATGGACGGAGGATCGTCTCCTGGGGCGCCCATCGGCGAGGCAACGAACGCGGATCTCGAGTCGCCGATGTCCGCTATCGCCAGCGATCTGTCGAGATCGTCACTGGATTCCGGCAGTGCGAAGAAGCGTCACCTCCCACGTACAAGAGGTAAGGTCGCCTAAGTGTCAGGCCGAAGGGATTGTCTGCGTCGTCTGCGTGATAAAGAGAACGAGATTGTTAAGCGAAATTTTATTAACTTTCTTCACTGGGTTAAAATACAAGTCCCTTACACTTTTCGTCTCTTCGATTCCCTAGGACGCTGATGTCCCGTTAAAACAAAAATAATTCGGTTCTGATGGGGTTGAGAGAATATCGACTTTTTTCGATATGCCCTTTCGATTCGAGTCGCTTTTCAAAAGTGAAAAAAGTTCGACTTGTGCAACTCGACGGAGACAACCTTTCGCGTCGGTAGATTGTAATTTACGTATAAATTATTGTTCCAAGATGTACATCAAACAAGGAAAACGTATACGCGCGATATATTAAGCGTTAAGTTGCGCGTTAAATGATGACGAAATTATAGTGAAAGTCCGAGTTGATGATAGCAAATAGATACTGTTTTCGAGCGACATGTGTTAAAGAAGAAGGACAAGGACTAATTAACGTCTAACACATATTAGCAAGTCTAATAACGCCAGGAACACTGGTGCAATTTACAATTCTAGTAGATTGGTTTTTTTCGTAATAAGCGGGGCGAATAACCCATGTCGGGTTAATTACGGGCAAAGCGGGTACCGATAGAGCGGAACGTGAGAGTCTTCCGAAAGGCGGGCTATTCGTTATAGGGATTTCCCCGTCCTTCAACGATTTGTGAACGTCTGCCGCCGGTCTGAACCCCGCGACCGCGAGTTCGCAGCCTCAATTGCCAGTGTTTCTCATTCGCGCGGTCCCAGCACGCCGACACGTAACATGTTCCTTTGGCACGCATTTCCTCATCGGTCTCGTTGACCCATTTCCAACATCTGTGTCGTTAACGGCGTATATATCATTGCTCGTGTCTTGCATTCTATTTAAACATTTTCTTTATTCGCTCCTGCCGATTATGAAACACGTCGCATTTTTCGTAGGTGTAACTCGACAAAGCGATATCTATTTCTTCCTTTCAAGAGCTCCCCTAATCTCTCGATAACCGCAACGTCGAGTTAATTAAGACGCGCGACGCGATCGTTGAGCACCCTCTCGCAACCGTGAGGCAAGTAGTAGCTCGTGCCGGGGTTACGGGGACCAGGTGCTCACCTGCTCCTTGTTGGGTGGCTGGTTAGGCTTGGCGCCCCCTTTTATTCATGCTGCCGGTAAGGCCCCGTGGAAGTTCGCTACGCGAACGAACGGCTGATGGGCACGGGCAGTGGGCACACCGGGCGCGCCGGAATGGGGGTAGGTATCCCTCGTGCTTCGGGGATGCTTACGGTACTTGGGCGCGATCGGGACATCGATAGTTAGATCGTCCGACGGCTATCGGTTGCCTGGAAAAGTGCGGTAAAACGCAACACTCTACGGCACATTTTTAGACCCATCCTGTAAAAGTGCACTTAACGAGATATTTTTATTTGATAAATTGACAACGGGCGTCTGTGAGGTTGAATCACTGGTAAAACTCTTTACTCACCCGACCCACGCGATAACTGACGTATTTTATTTATTCGTATTATTTTTAATGAAAATATTCAAAATTAGGAGAATTGCAATCGATCGTTTTATATAAAGGAAAGTCCCCTATTATAAGATAGGATCCTAATATGGGATAGCAGAGTTAAATTAATAAGCATCGTCGGTTGATTCCACCATGAATTCATTGCCCTTGGAGCGAAATCTGTTTAGTGGAAAATTCATTGTTGGATCGTGTAATCGTTGCGAAAATGATTTGTGTTGAAAACCTGCTATCTCATTATAGAGGACTTTCCTCTACTTTTTAATTTATGTAATGCAACGATGAGAGGACATATTTATTGTCAATTTAGATACTAAAAATTTTATATTAACGTTATAACTATTTGTACGTTTATATGTTAGGATGTTCTTAAATAATCTCATTGGCTTTCTTCGATTAGTCATTTACGGTGAGACTTTTAACTTAGCTCGATTAGGGAAGACGTTTAAATTAGTGAGTGAAAAGGATAGCGCTAATTATCCGCGAGTAAACACACACGTCCAATGAAATTACACTACACGTTTAAATACATCCTGCGTGCATCGATACTGACCTACCCTCGTTAGACATCAACACATCGAGAGACCGTTAAGAATACAGCTGTCTCGTGCGAAAGACTAGGGTCCGTGTGTCCGACTACCTTTAACGCTACGTTTAGCTCTGAAGGTGACTGACCGATTCCATATCTTATTTCCGTGATGCGATGATCGCGTTCGGCGACCCGATGAGGCGAAAAAAACGGCTATCCATAAATATAACCAGTTTACGACTCTTATATAAACGTTCATGGCGTCTCGTCAGGAATGACAAGAGGATAATAACTTGATTACCGATACACGCGATACCAGCTTATTTGAGCCTCGTTCTTAATCTTTTTAGACGCAATTTGTTAGTTTTGTTCAAGGCTCCCTATTGTTTGAGAAGGGAAGAGATTTAGACGCGTGAAAATTCGTTTTCCGAAGCGCCTCGCTTTCCCGCTGAGAGCGAAGGAACGAGGAAGGCAACGAGTCGCAATAATTTTATCGTGACCGTGACATAAGAATACCAGGTGTAACATTCCCGTGGATGCGCACTCGTGACCAATCAGAAATTTGCCCGTGACATTGAAACTGCAAATCATTGCGGTTGAATGCAGCAAGAACCAATGAACAATTTAACCCAAAAAATGGTTATCATGCGCATTGTCTCACTTTTACATCATGATCGTGTGACAACGGAGCGACAACAGCGAACCAACTCCTATGGAACACACGTACCTTTCTCCTTATTTGCATACGAAGAAGCTGTACAGCCGGCGGGGAATAATTCGGATGAGATAATCGATGTACGGCGGCGTTTTTACATGTTAAATAGGGGCCCGGGTGAAACAGATCCCACATTACGCGAGCTGTAGTCGGATTAAGAGACGTGGGGCAGGGGTGTTCGCAGCCGGCCACGATCTCTCGCGCACCTCGACGACGTTATCGTCGCCGTTGCAAATGCCGTCGTGCAGCGGCATGGAAGTGTTGCGCCGCCACATGGCGCGCTCCGTTCTCGTCCGTTGCCTTGAAAGTCCGTTGCGCGAGGGATACAACGACGCCGGGGCGAACGGGGCACCCCTATACACGCCCGGCTCCAGTATTGAGCGGGCTGTACCCGAGACGCCCGATAGCTAGAACGGACCTACACACGCGCGAAGCGTGCCGCTCGCGTGCAAATTGGGTAATTACGCGCCGTCTTCGACCGCCACGCTTTTCAGCCCGAGGAATAATGCGATCCGCCGTCGGCTAGGCGATAATCGGAATGGTAATCAGCGTGTACCTCGCGTCACGGCGAGGGACTTAATTACGCCGCTTTCAATTAACGCAACGTATGTTGTCACCGTTGGTCTCGTTGGTTGTCACCGTCAGGCCTCGGCGGAATGATTTATGAGTCCCTACTTCACTTATGATTAGCATTAAGTGCCGTATCATCGAGGTATCTGAAATAGGTAGACAAAGTCCACCGATGTGTTGACTGTTATTTTCGGTGTCAACTTGAGTTTCTCAACACAATAGAACCAATTGGCGTGACGCCCAGTAGTTTGCGATATTGTGGCAACTTGTCGAAAGTCGAATTGAGTTTCACATTCCGCAAAAGGTGCCCAATGGGGGAGACAGACTGAAGAGAAACGCGGTGGCAACCGTCATGGCGCAGATGAGCATATTGAACGGTGCGAAAGACGCTTCTTCGACCAATGGCTTTCCTATCAAGATTTAATATTTAAATGCCCTGAAGTTTTATGCCGTGGTAAAGCTAAATGCGCGGAGAAGAAGGGGGAAAGACCGGCGGGGAAGGGGGGAGAAGAATGAAAGAGGTTTGGGTTCCTCCGGGTCCCCGGGGTCCCAAGCCGCATTAACATATCCTGTAGGGCCGGTAAGGCAGGTCTCGCGATATTTCGGAGAAGGCGAAGGTTGGCACTTTCGCAACCTTTAACGGTCGCAGACCCGAATTACAAATCGCCTCGGGTAGGAATTGGGCGCGAATTCCGCGGATATCGCTGCTAAATCTGTGGAACGATTCGGACGCGGCTCAAGATGAGCCCGATATCCGATAATTGCGAGGCGAGACGCGTTATACGTCAGTGGACGAACCCCGTCTCGATCCTCGATCAACAACCCTTCCGTCTCGTACGGCTCGTTTCGACCAGGCGGTTCGCAGGGGACGATATAGGATTAGGCGCGATAAGGCGCGCGTAGAGATAGCGATTGGCGCGCGGGGATAGTTGCCACCCGAGGATTCCAGTTTTCCCTTCTCGCGGTTGCGCCCGGAGAAGCACCTTGGCGGATCCGTTGGATGAAAAATTCGTTGAGCGCGTGCCGGCTGCACACACGACTCGACTACCCCTCGTCTTACTACCCTCGCGGCCTACCCTCCGCTAATGTCGAAAGACGGAAGAAGAAACGAGCGAGATAGAGAGTGGGGCGAGTTATCGAACAGGCCGACCGACCGACCAAGCAGCCAACCCCCCGTTACGCGCTCTCTTGTCGCTTGTTTCCTTACCTCGGTCTCTTGTGTCTCGTCCTGATGTCTGGTCCCGATGTGCGCGTCTGGTCCCCATCCCGTCTCGCAACTCTCGTAACGGGGCACACGCTTCAACTTTTATTCCCACCGACAACATTCTGCTCTCGCAGACTGTTGCTCAACGTCTATCCGCTTTTCTGTTCCACGCTCGTGTTCGCACGCGGCGATTAGCGCCGGCGTAACTTTTCCTCCGATCGATTCCCGACGGTGTAGATGCGGGAGAACACGTCTCGATTATTATAATCGTGCTTTCTTGATGGCACGAATAAATCTGTCAATTCGCTTCCGTATATCCATATAGCATGGGAATCTCAACTCGGGCTGTATTACACCGGTTTCCATGTCTGGCAATTTAAATAATATGAATGCGACTGAATACAATTAACTCGTAGCTGCACTGGTTTTTATTCAGAATAAA